AGACAGCATCACCACCAGATGGATCCGTAGCTGGCTGACCGGCCGTACTCAGCATGTGGTCCTCAATGGAACCACATCTACATGGAGGGAAGTGTGTAGTGGGGTGCCCCAGGGCTCTGTTCTGGGCCCAGTGCTCTTCAACATCTTCATCAACGATTTGGACGAGGGGATAGATGGGGAACTCATCAAATTTGCAGACAACACCAAGCTGGCAGGAATAGCCAACACTCCAGAAACAGGCTTAGGATACAGGAGGATCTGGACAGACTTGAACACTGGGTGCTATCTAACAAAATGAAATTCAATGGTAAAAAAGTAAGGTTCTACATTTAGGCAAGAAAAACCAAATATACAAGTATAGTATAGGGCAGGGGTAGGCAATCTTGGCTCTTTTATGACTCGTGGACTTCAACTCCCAGAATTCCTGAGCTAGCATGGCTGGCTCAAGAATTCTGGGAGTTGAAGTCCACGAGTCATAAAAGAGCCAAGGTTGCCTACCCCTGGTATAGGGGGTACCTTGCTCAATAGTAGTAACTGTGAGAGGGATCTCGGAGTCCTAGTGGACGATCATTTAAATATGAGCCAGCAGTGTGCTGCAGCTGCCAAAAAAGCCAACACAGTTCTAGGCTGCATTAACAGAGGGATAGAATCAAGATCACGCAAAGTATTAATACCACTCTACAATGCCTTGGTAAGGCCACACTTGGAATACTGCATCCAGTTTCGGTCACGATGTAAAAAAGATGTTGATACGTCTAGAAAAAGTACAGAGAAGAGCAACAAAGATGATTAGGGGACTGGAGGCTAAAACGTATAAGGAACGGTTGCTGGAATTGGGTATGTCTAGTTTAATGAAGAGAAAGTCGAGGGGGGACATGATAGCAGTGTTCCAATATCTCGGGCTGCCACAAAGAAGAGGGAGTCAAGCTATTTTCCAAAGCGCCTGAAGGCAGGACAAGAAGCAACGGATGGAAACTAATCAAGGAGAGAAGCAACCTAGAACTAAGGAGAAACTTCCTGACAGTTAAAACAATTAACCAGTGGAACAACCTGCCTCCAGAAGCGGTGAATGCTCCAACATTGGAAGTTTTTAAGAAGAAACTGGACAGGCATTTGTCCGAAATGGTATAGGGTTACCTGCCTGAGCAGGGGGTTGGACTTGATGACTTCCAAGATCCCTTTCAACTTTATTATTATTATTATTATTGCTAAAATGCTTTTATCTGTTCTGAGAGATACTGTCCAGGCAATTACATTTTATTATATGATTTGAAATTCTCTTTGTTTCTTTCAAGGGTGATATATTATTGAGACTTTATCTTTAGAAAGAATACATTTTGAATTTGGTTAAAGTTAGCACTTTCTTCTCTTTTCTCAGCAATTTCTTTGCCCAGCTATTCTTAGATTCTTTACAAATCTTCACATTTGTATTATATGTCATAGGATTTTTATTCTGGTTTGATCATATCTCTTGATAGTATTCTGGTAACAACTTTTCATGAAGATTAAAAACTTTCAAAAAATATTAAATGGCCATAAATCATACTGTCTGTGACAATACACCTCTAAAATATTGATAAGAATTTTGCTTTATAATCAGCTGGCTTTATTTGCATTTTAGGTAGAAGAATGAATTTTGGTTTAAATATATTTCCATTCATGTTTTAATTGAAAACAATAAACAAATAAATCACAAATAAGTTTCATTGTTCACATTGCAGATATTGTATTGGAATCCGTCACTGTTTATCAAACCAGTCAACATCCCGACCTCCAGGAATCCTTGACGAATTACTTCTCACAAGAGGTATTTTGTTTTCTCAGTCATGTTGCAGTTCAAGAAAATACTGTCTTCCATTTATCTGGTACAGAGTTACCACTGAACACAGGTTAGACCAAGCAAATGCTTTGGAGATATTTTTCCCTGCTACTGAGGGAGAATTTCTATGGCTTTGTGAACTGACAGGCTCTCTGGTAACCATTATATCAGAGGTCCCCAACCTTTTGGGCATCAGGGACTGATTCCGTGGAGAAAGATTTTTCCACGGACCGGAGAGTGTGGTTTTGTATGCTGCCTGCATCCCATGGGTGGGGCTTTGTTTGTGTGGCCCGGTTGCTGGCATGCTACGGCCTGGTACTGGTCCATCGACCGGGGGTTGGGGACCCCTGCATTATATGACAGCATTCAAATGTGCTTCCCAGCCTCAAAGTGGCTATTTTTGATCAGGTAGTAGAGTGGTTTTGCTAAACAAAATGCAGTGCTATTTCCATTGCAGTCATGTGCCTAGGTTAGGAATGAAGGTGACTTTTAACTTCTGAAGCAACCTATCTTTTTAGAGTCATAAAAATCTATGAGTGTTGGAACTGAAAATGTAAAGAAATATCTGTTCTCTCTCTCTCTCTCGATATTTTTATTTGGACAGGGTGTTCCTGCTGGTATTATTTTCTTCAGTCCTTCTGGTGTCAAGTATTGTCTGAAGCAGATTTTGAAATTGTCAGGTGATCTCATTTCCCAAATTAAGGTAAGTTTTACACCAGAATTTTGACACATAGTATTTTATAACTACTACAGAAGAGATCCGAAAGCCATAAAAGTAAATTATTCATTTTTTTCATCAGTCTTGATGACCAACACAGCAAGCATATTTCTACTGCATTTTATCTTACTTTTTTATCACTTTTCTATTTTTTAAAGTTTAAATATTGTTCTATATGCATAAATACATAAATAAATCCTATAACATGGCTCTCTTTTCAGTTTGCCGCAATAGGTCCAACAACAGCTGGAGCTCTTGTAAATGAAGGAATCTTAGTAAGCTGTACAGCCAGTCGCCCTACCCCCCAGGATCTTGCTGCTGAACTTAGAAAATGCCTCTAGCTGTAATACATTTGAAGACTCTATAATTTGCAGTAATATCTAAAATTAAAAATACCTTCTTTACGATTTAATATTGGGTTATTCCTGGCAATCATTGGAAGTATACATCTCTGATGTTTTGAACACTTTTCTCTTGTATTAGTAGCAGTGATTAATGCTGCTGTACACTAACCTGGATTATATGATGTGTATTCTAACTAATGTTTGATAAGCTAGCTTTGTTTACACAAAAAGAATCTGAATTGTAGCTTCAAATTGTTTTTGCATTTCCTTAGAAGATAAAAATAGATGATATACCTGAATAAATATATTCATCAGGCTGTATTTTAGGGAAGCAGAGCACAGAAACAACCAATTAAATTGAAGGCATTAGATAAGAAAAAAGAAGTAAATAAATTGAATCTAGTTTTCATCAATACATTCACTGTATCTCTACACTTTTCTATCTTTGCAAATTATCTTTATTTGCACCAGTCCACACACCTATTCATGTATTTGTGTGTGTGTCATATTCCTTGGTGCATGACAGTCTATTTAAAATTCATTGCACATCAGATTCCCTACTCAAAACCCAAAATACTCTGCATATAAAAATTAAATATATATTCAGATCCCCAAACACAAAATTCTAAGATCACCCGCAGGCATTCCTTTTATAGTTCTCCATAAATACATTAAACAGTCATCCTCAGCTCTCTCCTTGCTCAGTGTTCATTTGCTAAGCATTCCTTTTACCCCATGCATGCTATTTTCATTGTATACCATTCTTACCATATTCATCAACTAATCTAGAACTCCAAAGTCTTTCATAATTCAAGCATTACTACTTTCATCGTATGCTTTCTCTAAATCAACACATCAATAAACTTTCTAACATACACACATTCCTCAGTGATTACACAATAAAATTTCAAAACCTTCATGGTATTATACCTTAAAAAAGAGAAGTACAGGAAAAAAGAAGAACAAGTCCTTGAGTTAGAAACTGTAGTGTTGCAAGCGTCACAGTAGTAGTGTCACAATTAGAACAATTAATCAGTGGAACAACCTGCCTCCAGAAATTGTGAATGCTCCAACACTGCAAATTTTTAAGAAGAGACTAGACAACCATTTGTCTGAAATGGTTGAGCAGGGGGTTGGACTAGAAGACCTCCAAGGTCCCTTCCAACTCTATTATTATTGTTGTTGTTGTTATGCAGAAAAGCCTTATTTTGCCTAAATGAGAAACATTCTACTATAGCTGACAGTACTGTATCTTTGATTACTTTGCTTTTTATATTTCTGATACTGCTATCTGTAAGCTGAATAACTTATTAATGAATTTACCAAGGCTGATCCAATAGAATAGGGGTCCCCAACCCCAGGGCCGTGGACCGATATCAGGCAGCGGCATGCCAGCAACTGGTCCGCACAAACAAGCAAAGCCCCATCCATGGGATGCAGGCAGCCCACAAAATCACACATTCTCCAGTGTGCAGAAAACCTTTCTCCATGGAACCGGTCCCTGGTGCCCAAAAGATTGGGGATCTCTGCAATAGAACAGCAAGGTAAGAAATACCGTTCTGTTAGGGAAGCTTGTGTGAGTTTTTAACTGAGAGGTCTTTCAGATGCCTTACTAGAAAGCATGATACTAAAGTATGTGAAAGCTTACACATTAGTATCCCCCTAATTTGTTCAGACAGAAAGTATGATGCCTGACTGCTCCAGTAGAGAACAAAAGGTACATTACACTAGTTATTTAGTGCTCTGGCTTGAGAACTGACAGTTTCTGCTCTGCAATTTCTCTCTGATGCCAAAGTACATTAACTGTAAAGCTAGAGGGGAAGAGAATTGCTGCTTATATAATATAAAGGACAGGGTTTATGGGCACTAAAGCAATTCAGCTGTTTTTGTAGTCACTGGTCAGCATAATTATATGTATGATCCAGTCAGCTAGAGTCAAGTCAGCTCTTGTAGAATTATTTCAGTTCTTGTACTTCAGGGGTTGTGTTTCAGTTTTTCATTTTTATGTCAATTCTTAAGTTCTCCTCAAATAAGAGCTTCATAGCAGTTGGCTACAGCGTTGATTCTACGATGCAGAACACAAAATAACAGGTAGACATCTTAACATTCTCCCCACAGCAAGGAGCTCATCTGGTTTCTATTAGTCCAAAAATGCTCTCTGTTCTGGAGAATTCCCTTCAAACTCCACTGAACATTTTTCTTCACTGACAATCAATTTAAGCTTTCCATTCTGACCACAAAGCCTTTTTCAAGTCAATTCCTCACATACAAGTTACATAAGAACCACACATTAAACTGCATTATTGGCTGCATTTCAAAGTCAAGGTAACTTTCTTGTTCATAATCTAATGATCTCACTTTTTACAATCCATTAATTATAAAAAGCATGATTTCAGCAAGTATTGTTTTGAGAAGAAACAGTAGTTGCTCCTTAATAAGGTTAAAGGAACAGTTTGCTGCCTAATGAGAGATGCTTCTGTTTGGTTAAAGGGCAGAAATAATAAGCAAGACAATCAATAATGGTGTATAATTTCAGCGTGTGTTGTTTTGCTACATTTTAAAACCTACAATAATTTTTGAAGGTGTTGGGATGTCCATTTTAACAACCAAAATTAGAAGAACCTCGTTCCTATTAGCTTGAAGGTATTTCATTTACATACACATTTTCTACTGAAAAGGATCAGTCTCATGAGAGTAAAACATAAGACAAGAATAGAAATAGAACTACAGTCTAAAGCAGCTTTATTTGTATCGGGGGTATTACCATCTGCTGCTTAGAAAAAAAGTCTTTTGTTTAACATTTGGCAAAGCAGGAATTGCTGTTAAGGAGAAAAAATAAGCTACATTTAATCTTCTGCAAATTAATAACGTTTACCAAATTATAAATAAAAGTGATGTATAAAATGCATCTAAAAGGTTTTGATTTGGATTGCTTCCAAAATTTGCAAGCCATTTAAGGAATCTGTTGCTTCAAAGGATTGGTCTGTTAATACTGTAACTCAGTATATAGAACACTTTAACTCATTCTATAATACAACCATTGTAAATTAGTTTGTCAAATAGATATTAATTATAGCACTAAATTTGAATTAAGTAGCTTGCATCCCTTCAATTGCATAAGAAAGGGGGTGATTTCTGCCAAAATTTCTGCATTGATAGCTGTCCAATATTCTCTAGTCTCCAGGAGCAGAGGAACAGCTGTCAGAATTCAAATTAGGGCAATGAGTAACTAGGATTCAGAATAAGACCTCAGAGCTAAGATTAGGAATTCTGTTAAATGATTCTGCACCACACTGGAATATATAGTGAATCTCAAGGTAATTTTTTTAACATTTTGTGTGAGAAGCATTCAGAAGAGGGTAAAATAATAGAAGTTGGCCCAAGGAAAGAGAAAAATGAAGAAATAAAGGTTGCATAAAATATTTAATTACATAATGAGGCAATAATTCCCAGACACAATATGATTAAATTATGGCCTCCATTTTTTTAAAAAAAACAGAAGCTATAATGCCTTGACTGTTACAGTGGGCTATTTCCCTCCACCTCTGAAAGTTAATTTTTTGGGACAAAGGATATGGTTGAGACAGTGGAATGGGATGGGGTGAATTTTTTGGCCTTTTTTTAGTTGGAAAATATGGGTACAGTTACACAAATATGGTTAGCTTCTAAAGTTCAATATATCTATTTACAATATTAAAATGAGCTGAGTAACTATACAGAAGTAACTGAGTAACTATACAGAACAATTTGTTCATATACTATGCTCAGCATCTATAGTTGGAAACATATCACCTTGATTTTTTAGCTAGCATTCCACTAACACTATTTAAATAATTTTGTTTAAATATTTAAAAATATTTTTAAAGCATGGACAATAAAAGAACTGCAGAGCTTCAACTGCACCTCTGTATTTCCTATGTTTCTAATTGAAACATGGTCTAGAGACATTTCTAAAAATATTTTCTAGCAATTTACTGAAACTCTCATTTAAAAAAGGAAAAGAAGAAAACTTATATAGTAATTTTGGGTAATGACAAAAAGACAGTAAAGAATGATCAACAACGTAAACAGAGGGTGCCAGTAGGTGGGAAATTAAGACAGAAAAATGAAAACGGGGGATGAGTATGGGCTGACAAAATACATAGAAACTGCTGGGCTTACGGAGAAGAAAATCAGTGAAAGGGCTAGGTCAAAAATGGTGCCTTATCTTCAAAATGACAGGAAAATATTGGATGTTTAATCTCTAAAACCATGGCTATGACAGAAAAGAGGCCACACAATAACCGGCTTGCATATGCTGAATTGCTAAATGTCAGAATTATACTGATCAGGCCTTACAACAGAAGTCTGAAACTATCACCTCAGGGATCCCCGAGGGGTCCGTGCTGCAAGAATTGTGCTGGTAAATAGATTCATAATATTGTTTTGTCATTTTAACATGTGAACTTCTCCACTCTAAGACAAATTAAAGCAGCTGTTATTAAATAACCTCATGGTAAACAGGTTTGTGTTTTTCCACTTGGATAGCTGTCCTACTTTTGCCATTTATTTAGCTTCCTGCACAAATTTATATTTTAGCAGGCATGCCTGACACGCTAATTAGCCATGGGAAGCTTTTAGTGAGGCATCTGTGACACTATTTAAATTTCAGAGGTGTTTACTAGTGCAAAATATCTCTAGACCAAAATATCCTAAACAAAGTAGCTAAGGTGCCATTAGGTTGCAATAAATGCTATCATTGCTAACTTTGTAAAATACAAATGTTGCTTTTGGGAAGAGTAGGCAGCAGGAACACAAAACAAAAGTAGTAAAATGCTAGCAGATAGGACTCATTTTCAATAAAACACATTTTAATATACAACTTTATTTGCATTTCTGAAAAGAATGGTGGCTGAAATGCAAAATAGTTCACTTGCCTTATGCAACATTCTTCGCCCTGAAGTGAATTTAGCTCCATCCCCCTTAATGTTCTGCCAAGACCTGGCTATGTCTTTAGGTTTGGAGACCCAAGGACACCAGTGAATATTCACTCAATTGTGCCTTGTGGTTTTTTATATTTTAGTAATGATTATTTTACGTATTTAATAATTGATCTTTTTATACATAGTTTTGTTATATATCAGCCACTTTAGTGAGGTGGGTGGCCATATAAATTTGATTAATGATAAACTGCCTTATCCTGCTAGGACAAGCCCATCCTACCCATGCCGGCAGAGAGTGCCAACTTTGGATCCTGTCAAAGAACTCCGACTAGTAGGATACAGAAGAGACTTCTCTGCTGCAATGTCTGCCCTTTGGAACATTTTTCCCTTTAAGGCAGAGGTGGAGAACTATGGCCCCTTTTGGACTTGTGGACTTCAGGAATTCTGGGAGTTGAAGTCCACAGGTCATAAAGGGGCCATAATTCCCACCCATCTGACATAAGATTTGTCTCCTCCCTCCTATTCTTCCGCAAGATCCTGAAGACCTGGCTCTACTGGTTGGCCTGGGGACCAAATGGGGGAGTCCCACATTAGAGGTGGCTGCTAGATTGATGGTAGACTCTCCCTTCCCCCTTGCTTTCTGCTCTTAACCCATCCATCTTCTTGTTAATCATTTTGATGTATTTATTCTTGTTGTGTTCCTTTGTTATTATTGTTACTTTATTGTTCTATTATTTCACTTCTGTCTTCTACACATCTTTTCATTCTTCTTCCTTTTTAATTATTGTAAGCCTCCTAGAGTAGCCCCATGGTGAAATAGATGGCAAATAAATTTAACAAATAAATAAAATAAACAAAACAGAAAAAAACCCTTCATAATGGCATTTAAAGAATAATGGTCGAAGTTTATTTTTCGAACTGTACAATCTTAAATATGTAACAATATAAATAAAATCAAGCAGTCCATGTTGGACAGAAGCACACATTCCATTTGGATCAAGGCACTGATTTACCACAATGCAGTAGGCCAGCATTAAGGTGGATCATTGA